TCTTAATTCTTTTTGAAGTGGAAAAAAATCAAAATATATTTGACTTTTATCTCGTTTATATTAAATAATTTCAATGAATATCAAGGACCATCACTGTAACCTCTTCTTGTAAGAAGGAATTTCTTATTCATATTAAAATTATTTTACTATATGGTTCTCAATTATAATCATTAATTTCTAATGTTTTTATGTCTTGTCGAATTAGGCGTAAAATAATAATTAGTTTCGAATACAAAGTTTTACAATTTTACTTTGTTATTTAATAATTTTTTTACTGTATTTGTGTGTTATATTACCATTCTATAAGCATGCAAATTTTGTGGTAATATGTTACTATATACATAATTTCTTGAAAAAATAATTTTGAGTTTCAATTATAATCATTAATTTCTAATGTTTTTATGTATTAGATTTAAAATAATAATTTCGGAATACAAAGTTAAATTATTTTACTTTGTTATTTATTAATATTTTTACTCTATTTTTGTATTATCGTCGTTCACGCCCTCGTTATCTCATTTGTGTTACGACAATATTTTACATTTTAATTTTATAATGCTATAAATTATTGAAAAGTATATGAATCAACACAATGTTTTTATAAGAAATAATATTTATATTCCTCTTTCATTCGACATAATTTTTTTTAAAATAACACTATTTCCCTTTATACATTTATATATTACACTTATAAATCATAAAACTTGTAATCAGAATATAAATAAGGAAATAGGAATTTTAGAATAATCCATCAATTTTTAAAATTAAACACCTTCTAAAGATTTGCATCGAAGCGTTTTTTTTGATAGTGTTTTTAATCACTGTCAGATATCATTATACATGATCCAACTATGCCACGTCACCACTGTGTCATGACCCTCCTCTGCTAGATTTATAAACTAAATAGTCTAAGGAGTTTACATTTAAAAATTAGCATATCTCAATTAAATTTTTATTATTGTTAATAACTAACATATACATTAATTATGTATAATAAAATTAATAATTTCCTTTTAATATGCTTTTTATAAGTATAAAAAATAATTTTTAGTATAATTACTAATTTGTAAAAAACTATAAGATATAACTAAAAGGAAAATAATTCTGAATATTTCAATTGTATTATCTATTTAAACAACAAGAGTAACACAAAAATGATTAATATTTCTTTTGAAATTATTTACTAACATAAAAATTAAAAACAAAAAAATATTATATTAAATTATTAAGTTAAAAATATGATCAGTGTAAAATATAATTTTTAACCTACTTTTTGATCTTTAAAAGTTGATTTATTGAAGTTCATAATAAATAAAAAAGTTAAATTTATTACCATAACTTTAAGCTTGACTTCAAGTTTGAAATTTACATTATTAAAAATAAAACTTTATGACAATTAAACAATTAGTATTGATAAGATTAATATACAGTCAGATAAATGTTTAATTACATTTATTGTATATATATCAGAAAAGCTCAATATTTTTTTTCATTTTTATTGTAATAGATCACTTAATTAAAAATAATAGTAATCATTTCTAAGTAACTTTCGATGTTTAAAAAGATTCTTCAATTGAAATATTCAAAACTTAATTAATTTTAATTATTTACATTAACTAAAAAAAACTATTCAAAATGTTGTTAAAAGAAACTACTCGCAACTTGTCAGTTCAACGTAATATAAAATTTGATTATAATTGTAAAAACAAATAAATTTTGATTATTATAGACTAGTAGTAACATACATAAATAGAATTCAAAAATTAATAAATTACAAAGAAAAATTATTTAATTTTATAGTTGAAACCTATTATCGTAACAAACCTAATTCGACAATAAAAAATTTTAAAATATTAATAATTAAGGATATTAATTGTCTTTATGGAAAATGTGGGCCAAGTAACTTTTTAATTTATAAAATGGACAGTTTTTCAATTTTTAAGGGTAATATCTTTAACTAGAAAATAGTTGTGTTAAATTCATGTATATTTAAAAAAAGTTGGTCAAATGAGAGGTGATAAAATAAATGAGAGCGA